CTCTCCCTCTCAAAAATAAACGTTTTAAAAAAATGAAACAATGGTGCACAATAGAACTGTCTGCCAGTAATGAAAATGTCTTATATCTGTGCAGTCCAGTATAGTTGCCACCAGCCATATGTGACAACTGAAGATGTGAAATGTGGCTAGTAGGGCTGAAGAGCTGGATTTCAATTTACATGTGATTGAACTCAGGCCAATTTTTATTTTTACAAGTTAGTACTCGCAGAAAATACCAACTGAAGCAAAAACTGTCCTGCGGAGGTGCACATTATTGCCATTCTAGTTATTAAACTTGACTGTTATTAATTCCACCTTGCTTTGGGTTTGCTTTCCTGGATCAGATTTTGTTTTATGTGTTTCTTTATTTTAACCCTGGAAATCAACATCCTCTGATCATGAGAGCCCCTCCAACCCCTTGGAATTTATCTTGCTCGAGATGCAAGAGGCAACGTTAGGCAATATTAGACATAGTGTTTTGACTCTATGAATTCCTTTCTTTTCCACAGCTTGATCTTTATAAAATCCAGTCCTTTTAAGACTCCATGCCTTTCCCCCTTCTGCAAACCAGAGTTAATAATTCCTGCATTGCCTTCTCAATTCTGCTATCTTTGGCTACTACTCACCAAGATGTATCTACATAAAGGTTGTTGATAAGAGTTTAGAAAGAACTTATGTACCTCCCTTCTAATTGTGGCTCCTTCTTAATGACCGCTTTTTTCCTTCCAATAAATGCTAATCAATGAATCTTTCTTGCTCCTTTAGAACCTTCTGTTTTAGCATCCTTCTCCCCAAAGAGGCTAACCTCAGTTTTTCTTCTGAGTCTTTCAGACCGTTTTGAGTAGAAATTAGTATCTCGGTACCACCTTAGACTGTGATCTGTATACTGTCTCAACCAGATGACTGTCAGTAGTATAGAAATGTGGTTAGTTACCGATTTTAATATAAGCAGCAGAATAAACCAGATTGAGTGCTATGCCATTTTGGCTTGCACACACTTGCACTGAAACTTCGAAAGCCTTTGGTTGGAATTTTTATAGCATCTGGGAAACGACAGGGTTTTTAAAACTTGAATTCTTGCCCTAATTATTGGCTTGATGAAAGACTTGCAGTTGTAGGGCGAGTTGGTGGCACGCATGTCACCTGACTGTGGGAGGTGCTCTGCTCTAGTAGACGCTGGTGGGTCTTGGCTAAATGCCATCAGTCACGGCATTCCAGAAGGCAAGCTCATATCAACACAGCTTCCAGGTTGGTAGAAGGCAGCCCTTTCCTGAGTGGCCCCAAATATGGGCTAGGAAAGATTGAAGTGTCTTACTCCACCATGTACAGAAAAGCTTTAGCTCCCTAGCAAACTGAGAAATCTAGATATTAACGTTTCTCATTATGGTGAATTAAAGGTCGAGTCTCCAGGGCAAGTCCAGAGAACCCAACATTACATGGCACTCTAATTTTTCCTTTTTAATAACTTCTTCCTCCAGAGAGCTCAAAGAAATCCACTGATCTTTCCTGAGTCATTGCCTAAGATCCATGAAGGTGCTCAGGAGATAGAATTGCTTACTCAAGACACTCAGTAAGGAAACGGGCAAAGGAGCAACAGCCCTGTTTAAAGTAGGGGTTGGGGCTAAAGTGCTTTTCGTCTTCAGTTTCCTCGAGTGTTTCTCCTCCAGGTCTCTTAGCCATGGCTAATCTGGGAGGATGGAACACAACGTGAAACTGACCAGAAGAGTTGCAAAAGATATGTCCCCGTGAGGTGTCTGCAGAGATGCTGAGACCCGGCTGCCACCCCCACTTGTCCTGGCATTCTAATGCCACCTGGCAAGGCTACTGCTACTCTCTCTCTCTCCCTCTCTCTGTCCACACACACACACACACACACACACACACACTCGTGCACACTGAGTCTCCTGAACTTCAAGATAATTCAGGAGCACAGGCTTTAAATAAATGGTAATTTCAGAATAGACTGGGTCTTTCTGAGAAGTCTCTCCCCCCGCCCAAAAATTAAGAGGTAGGAGTGGGGGGAACAGGGATCATTTTCTTCTACTAACCAGGAGCTGCCAGAAATAGGGTTCTATGGAAACGTGAACACAGCTTCAAAATAAAAGCCCATTTAGTGAAGAGATTCGACCATGCTGAACACAAGAATAAAGAGTTAAAAAAGAAGTGGCCAGCCTTGAGTTGAACCAGAGAGAAGGGGGAGATACGACCTTACTTTACCTTCTTCATGGATGGCTTGCAAAGATTAATTAGGTAAAACTCTGTACATTTCTTTAAGCCCTTTGGAGAGAAAAGCTATTTGCATATGAATTATGCTGACACCACATGTGTCTCACGTGCCATGCAGACATGGTGAACTGTGTCTGTAGTGTAAGTGTGCTACTATGTCCAGGCTCTAAAGATGGGCATCCCTGGCTGACCTTAGTTCTCTGACCCAGCAGTAAGGCAGAGACGTATGGTAAGGCAAGTGGCGTCTGAGTGCAGTCCCCTCCTTGAACTTTAGCCTTGTGCTTGGAGAAGCTGGAACCCTTGTGCATGTCTGTTTGGGGAGGCATTTCCTTAAGAGACATATGCTGTGGAGGTGGGGGTTCAGGGCCCGAGTCGGTTAGGAAACTGAGAAAAGAACTTTCTCCATTTTTTTAAATACCTTTCCTTTATCAACATGTTGCCTCAGAGGGTAAAATAATTAAAGAGTGAGAGGAGAAAATAGTTTTGACTGGGTACACTAGTTTCCAGGGCTGCTGTAAGAAAGGGTCACAGACAGTATGGTTTAAAACAACAGAAAGTGATTCCTTTGCAGTTCTGGAAGCTGGAAGTCTGAAATCAAGGTATGGGCTGGGCTCTGCCTCCTCTGAAGGGTCTCTGCCCCTCTTTGCCTCCCCCTAGCTTCCCGTGGCCCCACGTGTTCCTGCCTTGTGGCAGCCTGACATCCCATGTCATCGTCACATGGCTGTCTTCCCTCTGTGACCAGGTGTCTTCTTCGAAGGACACCAGTCATGTTGGATGCAGGGGCCTGCTTTACTCCACAGTGATCTCATCTTACCTCATACATCTACAGCAACCGCATTTCCAAATAAGATCACATTCTGAGGGACTGGGAATTAGGACATATGTCACTGCGGGAGAGGGGACACAATTCAGCCCGCAATACCAAGTTAGGGTAGTTTCCAAAAATACTGAGGAGCCGAACCTTTCCCTCATATAAAAGATCATATGGAAGCGCGGTATGAGAGGAGGAAAACCAGTGCCTCCCCGGGGAAGGAACAGTGGAGTCCAGGGCCTTTATCTCTCCACCCTTCCAGATCTCCTGGCCCCTTTCCCCGGCTCCTGTGCATGCTGTTTAGACACCACAGAGATCCCCCGAGGACTGTGAGGGGCACACACAGCACGGAAAGCTGTGGACCTAGATATTGCATTGGGGTCCCTTTTCAAGTAAAATCCCATTCCTGTAAAGCAGGCACATTTCCAGAGCATGCATTCTAAAAATAGTCTCTTTGCAAAGCTTGTTTTGTTTGAAAGCGGTTGCATTTCCTTTGTTTATTGATTTCACTATGAAGGAAATAGAATCTACTCGGAAAGCAAACCTCCCCCAGGATCACCTTAGTGTCGTCACCAGCAGTCACTCAAACAGAGTTGGGTGAAAAGCTTCATACAGGTCTGGGGGTGATTTTCTTTTCCCCTCAAGTTGAACAGCTGCATTAAAATCGTGGCGTGCAGTTCACCCTGCAGAATCTCACTCTCCCCTTTCCTAAAGACTGGGAAAGTAGGAACTCATCCTGGGAAGGACTGACACAGACTGATTCGCGGGGCCCCTGGGTGGCTCAGTCGGTTAAGCATCCGACATGATCTCAGGGCTCGTGAGTTCGAGCCCCGCATGGGGCTCTGTGCTGACAGCTCAGAGCCTTGACCTTGCTCCAGATTCTGTGTCTCCCTCTCTCTCTGCCCTTCTCCCGCTTGTGCTCTCTCTCAAAAATAAATAAATATTTAAAAAAAAAAAAAGCAGACTGATTCGCAGCTAGTCCCACCCCTGGGGGCGGGGGTGGGATGGGGGGTCGGCGCACCAGGTCCACCAATAGAACCAATGACTCCCCAGCCCAAGCTCAGGCCCAGGCTCGCACAGCATCCCGCCCCAGTGATGGAGCCCCTTGGGAACAGCTGCCCGGGATCCTGGGAAGCATGCAGACGCGCCTGTCAGGCGCTGGGAGGCTTCGGATCCCCTTGGCAAGGAGAAACACCGAGGTTTTCAGACGGCTAGATGCCGCCGAAGAGCAGGCTCTGGGAAAGCATGCGCAACAGCCCAAGGGGAAAGTCCTAGTGTCACCGCCATAAAAGGCGGCTTTAAATGGTCTCAGCTGATTCATATTTTTAGAAAAGGGTTTCGACTCAGCCTGCCTGCCTACAGTCCTAGTGCCAGAACCAGCAGCGAAAGGGAGGTAAACACGGTGTCGTGGCTTTCCTGCCTCTGCCTCCCTGGAATCCCTTGGCGGCGCAAATCAGGCGGGACAGACTTTGATGAGCACCTGCTCAGTTCCGCGAGGGAAGGCGGCATGTGTCCGAGGCTCTGTCCTCCCTTCAACTTCGGGGTGGGGGATAGCTCCCCTGCAGGAAGCCTGGTCTGAGCCATCTGTCACACCCCCGGGGACGGCCCTGAGGGCGGCATGGCGGACAAGGCCGCGTTTGGGGCCCGCTGGGGAAGTCTGGTCTCCGTCGCAGGGGCGCGCTGGGTGCCTTCCGGCCCGTGGGGCCCCTGTGCCGGCCGCATCCGGTGCTTTCCTCGCTGTGCAGTAGTGTGGCATCGCCGAAAAGAGTTTGGGACTCAGGGATGAGGACTATCGTTGCATTTCTGATTCCTTTACTAACCGTGACTGCGAGCAGGTCCGCTTTCGGAGCGGCCGCCTCGGCCTGTTCTTCTAACCGAGCGCCGCAGACCCGGAAGGGGGCGGGCTGGTGTGCGGTGCGCATGCGTGAAGGCCCAGGAGCCCTGGCCCCGCGGAGAGCCTGCGCCGTTTTGGAGACAGCATTTTTTATACAAAACAGTAAAAGTTATCTGTGGAGTAGGCCGGAAAATCCCTTGATAAGAAGCCCTGTCTCAGAGGAGGACCGATTCAAGGCAGGAGCCCTGACTCCGTAAGGCATGAAGTTCTCTTCTTTAGAAATATTTTGATGGAAAAGTTTGAGAAGCGCTAGATTCGGTCGTCTTGATGGTCCTTTTTGTCTCTTACACTTGAGAGCTTAGTTCACGACCTTAAGGTCCCTTTGCCCACTAAGTAAAGGCCAGCTTCCTGGGCGCAGAATTAGTGACGACCTGCAGCGTCCCTGAGCCCGTCCCCACTGCTCGGGCACCGCTCTGCTCTCGCCCTGAGTCCCACCCAAGTCTGTGGTTCCCGCCTCAGACTTGCACTTGCCCCTCTCCACGCCCTTTGCTTCACCTGGGATGACAACTTCCGCTTCTTAAAACCCCACTCATGCCAGCCTAATTCATGGGCGGAGATCAATAATGTTTTACTCTTCTCTCTCTCATATATATACACACGTATGTGTATGCGTGTATATATATGGTATTTCTCTACCAAATTAATAATTACTGTATCTCTTGCTTCAGTCCCTGGGTATATATTACCTGATGTTCGGCGTCAAGTTCTTTATGTAGAATTCTTATTCAGGTAACTAGATCATCAGGCTAAGAATGGGAATTCCTGATTCTGTCTTCTGCAAGTTCTACTCTGAAAGATGCAGCTCTTACCCATTTGGGGGTTTGTTTCTACATTGGTTTTATGAAGCCTCTTTGGAGAATCTATTTGAAAAAGATACAAACTATTTCATTATGACTGCTTAAGATAATATTTTAAATATTCAGTGTTTTTTCCACTGAGAAATACTTTGTAATTATGTTTCAATTTGTGTTTTTTAATTATTTTGCATTTTTTAACATTTTGCACATAACATTTTGCAGAAAGACACTTAAAGACAGAACTTTAAAAATAGAATTAAGTTTAAAAAAACACTATTGGATTGACTGGAAACAAACTTTCAAATACTTTCCAAACTTGTTTTGGAACTGATCAGTAAATCACAGATGGAAAAGTAAAAAGTTTAAGTTATCCTTGACATTTCAGAGGGAAAGAAAACAGAAAAGGAAAATCATTATAGCTGTCTCAAAGAAATTGCTTCCAAATTGTTGTCTGTCAGCTATTCCAGATGGCTTTACTGTTTTTTTGGTGGAATTGATGGTATTCTAAAAAGACCTCAGGAAAATAAATGAGGTTTTTCTTTTCTGATATCCCAGAAGGTAGAAGGAAAAAAATCTCTGTAAAGAAATGTCTGTCTTAAGTCTGTTTGCCACCTGTACCACCTCCATGGCACCCATCAGAGATTTGATGGTATGTTCATACTCTCTAAATTTTTTAGTGGTGAACAAGGTGCTTTAATAAGTATATAAGTAGTGAAAATAATGTATATACTAAGCAGGAAAGTTAGTAAAAACCTTTTATAAATGTCTTATAGTCTAGTAAAAAATATATGTGCATATTGATGTGTATATATTATACTCAAATAATAATATTGGCTACATGTGGAATTATATATGGCTGTGTATATGTGTACATATGCTTATGTATGTTTGCATATATATGCATATATAGATACAGTAATCCATACAGCAACCTTTATATGGATTTTATTCCTATTTTACTGATGAGGAAACATGTCCAAGAGACGGGCAAGAGAGTTATCCAGGACCCCAAAGCCAGAGGGGCGAGTGGTCGTATGCCAAGGCTGTGCGCTGAATCACCCCACACCCCTGCAGCAGTGTTTGTGGAATGTGTGTGGCGCCTGGGTCTCCCTGTGGCATCAAAACCAGTTGGAAAGACCTAGATTCAAGTCTCGCCTCTGCTCTGATAGTTTGTCAAGACAAAAAATGCGACAACGTCAGGCTTTCATTTTTTTGTTAGGAAGCTAGCAAGTCATGTCTGCTACTAGAATATCTAGAAGTTAAAGAGAAAGCGCCATCTCACTGCATTATAGCCTTGTTTTCATTATGACATAGGATTTCCACTCCGTGTTCCCTCCATTACATTTTCAAATACCCTTTGAATTTGCTTGAGCTTCGAACCTTCAAGTGACTCACTGGCAGGTTGTAAATTGCACGGAGGGCTTGTCCCTCTCAGTTTGTAGAAAGTCGCTCACTGACTACTCATTTCATCTTGGTAGATTTTACTACTACTTAAAAATATGCCAGGCATCCGACTTTAGGGTTGTCATGGGGCCTCCAATTGAAGTACTTAAGGACCTTAAAAATAAATAGGAAGATAAATCCTTCTTATCCTGACACTTTTTTCCTAAGTCAACTAGAAAGAAATGAACAGAGTTTGGAAGCATGGAATTGGTCTGTTTGTGGGCACTTGATGTCCTGGTGAAGGGCGCTAGTAAGGAGAGAGGTTTTACTCTGCCTCCTCGGTGCTATTATGTCAGAATGAAGCAGGATCCTCAAATCCCTTTCCTGGGGAGCTGAGGTAAAAGCCCCAGGGAGCTCAACACTCCTTTGGAAGGTTCTTCTACCTGAGTTCTCCACTGTCTTGGGTAATTTTATGATATTATGATGTCAGCATTTGGGAGGGTGAGGTTTTCCTCCACATACATGGTCCTTTCTCTGTGGGCTTATGCTGAGTGACCCTGTCATGTGTGAAACTGCCCAACCACCGTCTACTGGAGCAGCTACCGTGCCCTGGGCAGCTGGCGTGCTCTACTCAGGTCATCGTGCCATCCCTGACAGGTACAGGGGGCTCTATCCACGCTGGCCACGAGGAGACCCTGACGCTCAAAGTCAGCAACCTGTCCGAAGCCACCACCAACCAGCGCCGAGTCTGGTCCACACCCAAGGGCATCTGGCTCCCGGCCTCCTCCCAGCCATTCCTCTACAGCAGGCTTCCAAGTCAGGACCCCATTTGAGTGAAAATCTAGCCATGTCCCTTCTTCAGACTCTGGATTTTCATAATAATTAAAAATATATTAATATTGGGTGCCTGGCTGGCTCAGTTGGTTAGGCGTCTTACTCTTGGTTGGGGCTCAGGTCTTGATCTCACAGTTTATGGGTTCGAGCCTTACATTGGGCTCCATGCTGACAGTGTGGAGCCTGCCTGGGATTCTTTCTCTCTCCCTCTCTCTCTGTCCCTCCCCTGCTCATGCTCTGTCTCTCAAATAAACATTTTTTAGGGGCGCCTGGGTGGCTCAGTTGTTAGGTGTCCGACTTTGCCTCAGGTCATGATCTCACAGTTTGTGGGTTCGAGCCCCGCATTGAGCTCTGTGCTGACAGCTCAGAGCCTCTTTCAGATCCTGTGTCTCCCTCTCTCTCTGCCCCTCCTGTGCTCATGCTCTGTCTCTCTCTGTCTCAAAAATAAAATAAATTTAAAAAAAAAAAACTTTTTTAAAAACCCTTAATATATTAATATTTCTTACAGCCATATGAAAAGACTCATTCTCTACTGCCCTTCTCCTGCCTCCCCGCCTTTCAAGGGAACATGGTTACTCACATCCCACTAGCTCCTCAGACATGCAACCCTGTCCCCAGCCCCCAGACCCAGACGTCCGCTGCGGTTCCTCACGTGATCCGCATGGAACTCGGGCAGCTTGATCCCACCGCTGTCTCCATTGAAATAAGACACACCCGCAGGTCCGTTCCAGTTCTTGCAGGAGACAGTGTGCCGTGGGAGCCTCTTCCCCGGCCAGCTCTGCGCTGCTGGGCCCTCAGTCCCGTCACCGGTGAGGCCGGTGTCAGCTCACCCAGGGCCCCTGGGAGGATGACACAGGGAGCGCATGGGGGCATCCGTGCTATTTCTCACATGCAGAGCACATCACTTACAGGCCTGAGGGAGAGGGAACGGGGAGTTAGTGTATTAGCAGGAATCAAAGCAGAGACCTCTAGGTATGTCAGGGGAAGGGTCGGAGGTGGACGGGCATGGCCGTCGAGTTTATGATGCGATGCTGTGATGTGTTACCTGGGAGACTTTGGACACATGCACCATCTGCCCCACAATCCCAGAAGTCCCACAGGCCTGTCGCACAAAGCAATGCATCCTGGTGGCGGTGCGCTTTGTTTCCATAGAGCCACTGTTGTGGAAATAGTTACAGATGCTCAGAGTATTGCCTTCCCCTTCTCTTTCTGCCTTATTTCATAAGAGGGGATCTACTTTTAAATGCCCTGCACTGTGCTGGGACATTTTATCTCATGCTCTGGTAACTTTTATAAAGAGGCACCATCTTATCGATGAAACTCTTGGGGTTCAGGTTTAAGAGACTTACTCAGCCAGTGACTAGTAAGTAGAAGATGTAATATCCGAATACAGGTCTCACTCCAAAGCCTTTGTCCCTAACAGTTTACCACCTGAATATTTATCTGACAGTAGTAACCACAGTTTGCCAACATGAAAGTGACCAGAGTCTGGTTTGACATTAACACTGCATTTTCAAAGCAGAAACAAGATAGGTTACCATTGCAGTGCAAGTTTATGTACAGATGAGTTCTTTGTTGTTGGTTGGTGGACAGAATATTGTTGGGGTCTAGTCCATTGCTCTCAAGACACTTTCATGTTGAAATATGAGGATTACGTTCTTGCTTTTTTTCTCCAGTGGAGGGAATCAGGCGTGATTCAGTTTGTACAAAACAGCAGTGATCCTTTGGAGAAAATGTGTCTGCTGAAAACTCTGAGCTCAGTGGCTGGCTGGAATGAGCCGGACTTCTTGTGTTGTTGTCATTCTGGGCTTTGTGAAATGTCCTGTAAAGTTCTGATAGGTATTTCTGGGTCAAACCGGTGAAGCAAGCCAGTCCTGTTTTAGGTCGTAGGGTGGTTATTTGAGAAATGTGAAAAGCTGAGAGGTATCAATTGCTCTAGATTTGTATATAAATTAATTCCAGGTTGACGGATCCTAATGTAGTAGCAGCAGGTCATAAGGATGTAGCGTTGTGTCGGCTATGGCTTTTGAGTCAAACTTTAGTGTCTGCCTCCTAGCTCTGCGCAGGCCATGGGCCAAGGGAAGTAAATGGCGAGAGTATGAATAATGAAAGATCCGCCATATGTTTCAGTGCTTGAAAGCTCTGGTGGCACGCCTCTCCTCCCTACCCCACCCCCCAAAACAGATGGATCAATGGATCAGTAGAAGGATAGAAAAATGGGTAGATAGGTAAGAGAGCACACTTTAAGACCTCTTAATCATGGAATCTGGATTGTGGGTGTATGAGTATTCACTGAACAATTTTTCCAACTTCTCTTAAGTCTGATCATTTCCATAATAGTGTTGGAGGAGAAAGAAAGAATAGAATTATTCTTAGTTAGAGAGATGCAGTTGGTTTCAGAAAATATATTTGCTATAACAGCGTGAGCAAGCAGTGAGGCAAAAACCCTCTGCTTTAGATTAAATAGTGTTTTTATTTGTTTGATGAGCACCTATAGCTGCCAGGGAAGCATCTGAAATTGGAAGCTACCATAGAATGAACTGTTTGCAATTCTCAGGCAGCAGGTCCAGTGGTACAACATCATTACTAATATTGATATATAACTACCATTTCCTGAGCTCTTATCTAATGCCAGACACTGAACTGGCCACTTTTATTAAGCCATTTACTTCTTAAGTAATCTCTATGCCCAATGCAGAGCTCGAACTTACAACCCTGAGATCAAGAGTCACGTGCTCTACCGGCTGAGCCAGCCACGAGCCCCTTAAGCCACTTATTTCCAATAAAAAATGCCAGAGATATGGGTACCATTAGGTCTGTTACCCAGATGAAAATCTGAGCTCAGAATTCAAAAGCTTACTGCTGAAGGTCACATATCACATAGGTGGTATCAGGATTTGCACCTGACATGATAGACATCAAAGCCTGCGCTATTTCCTCTTGACCCTCAGTGTCCACAGTGTGGGCCTATACGGCCATGTCTGTCTTACCAGAAGTTGCTCAGAATCACAGGACGTCTGGCCCAGAGCTAGAGAACCAGAATCTACATTTTTAACAAGCCATCAGCTGTTTCGGCTGCAGGTCAGTCTGAGAAGCACTGTTCTGAGACACACTGCTCTGGAAATGGGGGACCGTGTCTTTATTCCGCTCGTGAAGCTGTAACACCGCGAAACACGAGAGGCAGTGAAAATTTGCATTTTTGTCTGTTTGTTTCAGAGCTGTAGCTGCAGCACTGAGCATTATTAGCTCCTTTCCTAGCAATGTCGGAGTGAAGACTGTGAACCAAAGCATAGACACAGGAGTCAGGTACCCCGAGTTTGCAACCCGAGTTTGTGGCCCTGCCTCAGGTTGTCTCCTTGATGCAGCTCGGACCTCCCCCGCTGTCTGTGACTCCATTTTCCTTCATCTACCAGGTGGGGACACCGGTTCTGGCTCTACCTTCCTCACAGAATGGCCAAAAGTGCCTTTCAAAGTCAAATGCAACAAAAACCGAAACAAAATGGAACAGATGAAAATATTATTAGCCTTGCAGTGGCGTATGGATTCTTTGCCTGAAGGTGAGGGTCATCGGGCCATGGCTGTTTTATTTGTTCCTGCGGAGGTTTCCGTGGCTGAGAGGACTTCTGGGGCAAGTGATCATTCCTCACCAGGCCAGCGTGTCCTTGCTGGAACCCTCCCTGCGCTCCACCCCAGAAGAGGACCTTCCATGACAACAGAGGACTCGATTGCAGGCGATGGTGTACAAACACACATTGGCTTAAACCAAATTCCCCAGCCTCCTCCACATGCTGCAAGAATTGAAAGCCTAACAGCTGAGACCATTCATTGGACTCTTCCCATGAGCTACCGTGCCCACCTCTTTGTATCCACTCTCTCATTTAATCTTTGCAACAACTCCAAAGCATAGAGATTTTCCCAGTTTACAGATAAGGAAAACTGAGACCTAAAGACATGAAATAGTGGAACTGGATTTTCTTAACTCCTAGGGTTGAAAAGATGTTTGCTTTTAGTCTGGCGTAATTTACCAGGAAACTGTCACATAGACATGGCAAAATGTCTGAAGTTTCATTGTTTGAAATGACTTTTTTTTTTTCCTACCAATGATTGCCTGGGACTCTAGAAAGAGCAGAGATGACAAGTCACTCATGGCTGAAATTAGCTTGTGAAGTTTTTGCTCTGGATGAAAAAATAGGTATTCTGATGTATGCCTTTTGTGTCTTCTGATCCATGAACTGGAAGAGAGGAAATAATAATCCAGGAGCCATTTTGGAAAGCATTTTAAGGAAACCTAAAATACGTTCTCTACTGAAGGATGTTTTCAGCAAAGAAACAGCCTTCTTGTCATTTGTAAAAAGAGTTTTGATAGTTCAGAAATGATCATATTTCTATTTTGTATTTTAGCATTAAGATAGGGTATAGTCTTCCTTGGCTAACCTTCTGATGGTGAGGAGTGTAGTTTTTTTCTTTATGCCTCAGTGGCCCTTTGTGGACAGAGTGCTTTGGGTGCTTGAGCTCGCATCCAGCTTCTGCCTCACTGGCGCTCAGGGAAGGGAGAATCTTTAGGGCTCTCAAAACCCCTTGCCTTCAGTTACAGGCAATAGGAGAGTCAATCCTGGAGAAATGATGACTTGCAACCCCTCTTGATCTTCTGCCCCATTCTTCCTTTTCTGCTTACGTGCAGGGTTCACACATATGTGGAAATTGGAAGGTGAGACCAGAGCTGAGACCCTGAACACTTGGGGATTTGGGACGCATTCGAAGGTGGAGTTTAGCAATATTGGCTTAGAGTTCAGACAGGCCTGGACGCAAGTCTCTGCCTGCATCTACCATTTAGTAGTTTTGTGAGCATGATTCTGCTTCTCTAAGCCTCAGTTTCCTCTTTTACTAAATGAAGGCAATGATATATTTTATATTATCTATTCTATAAGTATTATGTAATTATGCTATGGCTTTTATAAATACTAAATAAATAAATCACTGCTATTTAATATTTTACAAATACCATGAACCAGTGAGACAAATGTAAGTAAATATCTGGTAAAGTTTCTGGCTCTCCAGGAGATGTAATACTTATGAATACCTACAACAAGGTAGTAAGCCCCAAAGAAATGGTACAGAGTGCATCCCAGCAGGAGCTCACAGGAGGGGGTAAAGCCTGCAGCTCGCTGTTGGGGCAGCCAGGGCAGGCTGCATGTTGAGGCTTCTAGACCTTAACAGCTAGTGTTTTCATGGCAGAGCCTGAGCATAAAATAAAGAGTGAGAGTATTTCAGTCAAAGAGAAGGAATTCAGCTTTCAGAAGAGATAATTCAAGACATATTGAAAGAACTGAGAGTCCCCAGTGAGAAATGCCCTTTGGGACTGGTCAGAGCACCTGAGCCGCTTAATGAGACCACCTTGACGCGGCCCTGTACCAGCTGCACAGTTCAGTGCTGGCACAGCTTTCATTGATTTGAAACACAAGAAATACGGACCTGCAGGTGAAAAGTCTTACCTAGTAAAATATGATGTTGGTGAAATCCGACACGGCTGTAGCTGAACTCAGGTAGCAGATGGCAAGTGAGTGACCTTGGAGTGGCCTTATGTCCAAGCACTGGGATCATGATAGGTGGAAAAGAGCCCTGGACTAGGACCCAGGAGCCCAGGGATTGCCCTGGACAAGCCTCTGACATCCTCAATACCTGTTTCCACAAAGCACTTTGAAAGGGGGTGTGGTTTATAAGCCTGCCCAAGCCTCCTTCTTCTAGAATATCCAAGTGCAGTTGACCCTTGAATAACGCAGGTTTGAACTGATTGGGCCCATTTATACACGGACTTTTTTTCAGTAAATATAGTAAGTACTGTAAATGTATTTTCTCTTCCTTTTGATTTTCTTAATAATACTTTTCTCTAGCTTAGACTGTAAGAATACAGTTTGTAATCCATATGACATACAAGATTTGGATTAATCAACTTTATGTTA